TTTAAAAACAAAAAAGTAAAAAAAAATTACTACACTAATTTATTTGAAAAATACGAAAATGATTCTAAAAACAAAGAATAAACCTTTGAAAAAATTACTACACTAATTTATTTAAAAAATACGAAAACGATTCTAAAAAAATATGGAAATGTATAAATGAAATCATTAGTAATCATAAAATAAAAATGTGCTTTCTGCCCAAAGTTATTGAAATAAATGGCGAACTCTTAAATGATCCTAATCGAATAGCAAGCAAAATAAATATTTCGTATCAGTTAAACCAAACTTAGCTAAAAAGACCCCTATTGTTACTAATTTAGCAAGTGACACTCCCTCTTCTTTAAACTCTTCTCTAAATATATTTTTGAAACAACTTTGAAGAATTTGAATTGGCCTACAAAATGATTAAACTTAATAAAGCGGAGCAGACAATATTAATGGAAATATTGTTATTGGTTCTAATGACATCATTAAAAATATTCTTTTTAAAATTTTTAGTTACTCAATTAAAAAACCAATATTTCCAGATGCTCTCAAAATAGCTTGAGTTACTTCAATCTTTAAAGGAGGTGAACTAACTAAACTCAATAACTATTGCACAATTTCAGTTTTCCATGTTCTTTTTGGAAAGAATTTTGTATAATAGAATATATAACTATCTAACTATAAATAAAATATTATACAACAATCAGTTTGGATTCAAAAAAAAAATTCTGTTAAATATGCAATACATCAACTTAATAGAAGTATTGCAAATTCATTTGAAAAATCACAATATACTCCAGGCATCTTCATAGACTTATCAAATGCATTTGACACTATTGATCACGAAATTCTTTTTAAAAAACTACAGCCCTATAGAATCACAAGAAATGTATTATTATTAAAAAACTATTTAAAAAATTGGAAACTTCTTGTTGAAATAGATACAACCTCATCATCAAATTTATTAAATATATCATACGGAGTCCCACAAGGATCCATACTAGGACCTTTACTTTTTTTAATTTATGTTAATGATCTCTATAAAGCATCAAATTTGACTACAATTATGTTTGCCAATGACACAATTTTTTTTAATTGACAATAACTTATTAACATTATTCAACAAAATGAATCGTGAACTCATTAAAATTTCAAACTGGTTTAATTCAAACAAACAATCAATAAAACAATCAAAAAAACTAAAAATGGATCCTCTTTTACTCAGCTTGAAAAAAAAATTTACTTTTAAATAAAAGTAGATGCTGCCTTCTTTATATTTTGATAAAACTGAAATAAAGAGAGCTAAAGTTACTAATTTCTTGGGGAAATGAAACCTCACATTCCATGTGAGGTTTTCATTGATGAAAACCTCACATGGAAAAATCATGTTAACAACCTAAACAATAAAATTGCTAGAAGTATAGGAATGCTATACAAATCTAGACCTTTTATACATAAATATACTTTAATTCTATTATATTACTCATTTATTGATTGCCATATTAATTATGCTAATACTGTATGGGGTTGTGTAAATAAAAATATGCTAGAACTTATTTGACGTTAACAAAAGCATATTGCGCGTCTCATAAACTTTAAAGACTGTTATACTCATGCCAGACCTCTTTTACTTAAAATTAATATTCTTAATGTATGTCAACTTAATGTATATAATATTCTTTGCTTTATGTATAAATGTAAATCTAGCAACTCCCCTTATCCTTTTTATGATTTATACTCACATAAAAAAACAAACAAATACTTTAAAATGAAAACTTTATCCAACAACCTTTTTTGCATACAAATTTTGGTAGATCTTGTATCTTGTATAGCTTTTTTATGGAACAAAATAGTTTTGAAATATTTTGATTTTACTCAAAAGTGGAATTATAATACATTCAAAAGAAAACTTAAACAGACAGTTTTATCTATCGATAACATACTCTTATATTTTTAATTTTTATAAAGTAAAATTTTAAAATATATGAATGTTATATGATTTTTACGTTTATTTATTTTTACTTTCGACAAGAATATATATATTTAACACAATAAATGTAACGATGTAGTTGAAAGACAAAGCAGTTTTTGACGACAAGACCTTAAGGTATTCTACGAGATCCCGCGTTTTTTCTCTTACAAACTTAATCTTGTAATCATTCTATTATATTATTGAAGTTATTATAGTTGTAAAATGACTAATATTGTAAAATATTTAAAGAAAGAAAAAAAAAATTAATTAAAAAAGAAAATTAAAAATTAAATTTTTGGCTTTAAATTGCTGCCAAAATAAATAGTAAAAAAATATTATAAATTTTGCACATAGGCACTTTGTCCATAAATTACGTCACGCAATTTTCAACTGTTTTTGACCTCTGGGGGTGGGGGGGTGGAGGTGCTAAAAACATATATTAAAAAGGAAAAAGTTTTCCAATTTTAAATTATGCAGCAAAATAGATGAAAAGGATCTATTTATTCAATTATTTATCACACGCAACGTGATTAATCATCTTTTTAACGTGATAAGTCATCTTTTGTCAGCACACAGTCATTTAAAAAATAGTTAGTATGCGATAGTAGTATCTTACACAGTTTTATAAATATACTTTTCCATGGTGATGTTTAATTGTAATTGTGTTATTGCAGACTGGAAAATGATAATTTCGCTGTTTCTACCATGAAATTTTTTTAAAACTATTTTTGGACCAAATAAGTATACTTATTTGGTCCAAAATAGAAAAAGTAGAAACAATCAACTTTTGCAATGGTTTTACACAATTGCTCAAATATAACAGTGTAAGCTGTTTTTAGTCGGTATTATTCTTTTTATTGATATCATTGCAAAATACATGACATCGAATCAACGTTGGATTTGCATCAGAAAAAAGTTCCGTCGTTCGCGAAAGTTTTATATCCGTTAGCCCACTGTAGGTGTCCTAACATATAGCGTGACGTTAACTCAGCATTTTTTTGTAATAAAAGCAGCGCCTAAATGGAACAAATAAAAAAGCATACTGTCGTATTATTTAAATGCAATAACTTATGCTTTATAATAAATTTTGTAGCGCATTGTTTTCTCATTTTAATACTCTAACTTTCATTGATTAAAGGTTTTAACATGCAATGCGTTGCTTTTGATGTAATTTATTTGCCCTTCCTCAACTAGCCCCGTTTTATAAAAAAATATGAGAAAAAACATAGTTTGTTTAACTTACATTACATAAAAATTCCCAAAGGTTTTTTGATATGTTTTTTTAAATTTTCTTATATATATATATATATATATATATATATATATATATATATATATATATATATATATATATATATATATATATATATATATATATATATAATGAATTTCCAAAAAATACATTTTAAAATATATATAAAAAATATATTGGTTAAAATGTATTTGCTCGACTTACCAGACAGAAACATATTTTTGTATTTTTAACAGAAAAATAAAAATTCAAAAAAAAAAATTCTTATATTATTTTGGATTTTTGGGATTTTCTTTTATTAATTTTTATTATACTATAAAATCTTGTTTTATTAAAGTTTTTTTATTTATTTTTTTAATCTATTTATTCTATTGTAGTTATTTTATATTATGAAAATATATATATTTATTTAAAGTGAACTTGTGAAAGAAAAAAACAACACTTTACGTTTACTAAGGGGCTTGATGATAAGACTACTATCTTCTACGTATGTATGTATGTATGTATGTATGTATGTATGTATGTATGTATGTATGTATGTATGTATGTATGTATGTATGTATGTATGTATGTATGTATGTATGTATGTATGTATGTGTACACAAACACATAAACGCACACACGAACACAAATACGCTTACTCATTACAATAACAAATATTGTATACAATAACAAGTTTATTGCATAATTTATATGACAATCAAGAAAAAAGTATGTAGTTAATTAAATCATTATCATAATAATATAAATATAAATATCTGGACTGCAAGATTAACAGTTAAATTGTTTAAAAGAAAACACTACAGATCTTACTGTGGACTACAAGCAATCTTTTAAAATTGATTTAAAATGTAAAATGCCTATCAAAATTTTATATGTTATAATCTAAATCAATATAATTGCGGTATGCTATGGAATACAAATTTTAGCTTTAATTTCCAGACCTGTGAAATATCAAATTTTAGAATGCTTTTTTGTAGTGAGGATTTTTTTATAGTGTTGGAATTGTTTTAACTATTGCAAAAACTATTAAACGCTAGAATATTTCTCAAGGAAATAGAAGAAAAAGAACGAGCATATAATTTTTTTTTATTTACTTTTTAACTGGAAAACATAACTTTGAGAGAAAAAAAGAGAAGATTTTATGGTTTAAACACTTTCTAGCTCCTTTGATCTAACAAACAAGTTCTAGCTCCTTTAATCTTAAATCATATCCAAATTAAGGACGTTTTGCAACTTTATTTAAAACAATTTTGAGCAAATCGTCTTAGCAAAATCCCAAAGATGTACATCTTTGGGATTTTGCTAAGACGATTTGAACATATGTTCAAAAAGAGTCTTAAATTCTGCATAAACAAACAAACAAAAAAAACTTTTTTAAAACAGAAGTAAAAGTAGCTCTAAAAATAACAAAAATAAATTTTTATTTATTTCATTTAAAATCTAAACTATAGATTGTCGAAGACAAGTTTTTTATAAAAAATTTGATTTAAGTTTGACTAAATTGAGACTAATTTTAGAAATGTAACTTATTAACAAACAAAAGTTTAATATTGATATACTTTTTATATATACTTTTAATACTTTATAAAAACTTGATTTATTCTTTACCAGCTGTTTTTTTTAATTCTTAAAATCAAGCGTATCCTATATTTTTTACTATTACGTAAAACTTTATTTTTTATTTAAATTTTATGCAGTGTTTTGCTGCTGCTAATTAAGGCATCCATTTTGGTGTACTTTTTGCATTTTTTGTGAAGACTGAAACTATACGGGTCGTCATGATGTTGGCCAACAACAAGAAAATCGTAACAGAAGATCAAGACCGAAAGTGTTCGTTAATGGCAAAATTTACCAAATTGCGAGTATTAAACTTCTATTTGTAAAGTTTTGTGCAAATTTCAAATTGTTATGCAGTTTTTTATATTAAAATCAACATAAAATTTACGGTAAAGTTTGTTTTGGTATCTAATTCGAAACAAAATTTCAAGTCTATGCAAGTTTAAATTGACAAGTTATGCAACTTGACTTTTTTTAAAAGTTAAAACTGCAACTTCAAAAGATTTAACGTTAAGGTTTAAATTAACTTTGCACGAAATAGTTGCAATTTTTTTAAACTTCTAATATTATACTTTTTAAAAAATACTCAAAGTACTTTTATGAACTTATAAATATTATAATATTGTAATGGCTTTGTTTTTTATAAATAATATAGGTACATGTGTAACATATAGGTGTATACATGTGTAACATAAAGGTACATGTGTTACAATTTCATATTGCTAGAATATTAAATTGTTGTATATCTTTGGAAGTGCTATAAAAAAATATTACAAAATTGAAATTTTTACAAAATTGGATGATTCTGCAAAAGTTATAAGCATTTTAGTGGCAAAATTTTATTTAAAGAATTTCCTAACAAAACTGTGACCAATTTATTAAGGTTTTCTAACTTAAACCACTCTAACATTGTCAATTCTTATTTATATGTCTATAACTTGGTATCAAAAAATAGGTTCTACAAATTTTCATTGGTATCTAGATGTTGGGCATATTTAAGGGGCTAGAGGGGAACCAAACCACTATTTTCACCATCAAAAAATGTGTTTTCTTCTGTAAGAGAGTGTTCTTTTTATTATAGAGGTCATTTTTATAAACACAAGGTTTTTATTATTTTATTCTAGTTCACTTGCAAATTTTTTTTTTCATTCATTTATTTAACCATAAAATTAAAAAAATTTATTTATTATTTATTTATTATTTTACAAAATTAAGTTCAGTGTCACTGGTGTTGTTGAAAATTAGTCATTACACTTTAATAAAATTAACAAATAAAGCAAAATGCAAATAACAAAATAGTAATAATATAAATAGTGACCAAATCTAAAAAAATAAAAGAAGAACAAGAGTATTTAAAAAAACAAGACTAATAACACACAAAAAAAGAAAGAATGGATGAGTTTACATGCGAGATAATAAATGAATGATAACACAGTGTTTAATGATCAGAATATTGGTAGAAAAAGAAAAAATATATATAAGTATTATGATGAGACAAAAAATATGAAATCCTATCTAAATAATCTAAAAATATGAAATCTAGCAACAGATATAAAAAGCAACAATAATAAAAAGTAGTTAGAAATAACACCACAAAAAAAAAACATGACAATACAAACAATACACAAATGTACACATCAATATAAATGATGCACAAAAATACGCAATAGTATAAACTAAAAGAAGAAAGCAAAAATATAAATTGCTATTTATTTGTAAAATATATTTTAAAAATTTTAATGTAACAAGTGTATATTGTCCCTATATAAATATGTCTATGTAATGCATCAGGTAGAACTAAGCGCACAATGCAGAATATTAAAAAGCAACAGGTATCAAAAAGTTACAAAGTGCTAAAAGATTGAAAATAAAAAATGTACAGGAATAGAAAGATAATATGAAACAATAAAGGCTTTGTGAAAAATGGTTAATTGAATCTTAAAAACTATGTATATATGTCCTAATTGAAGCTTAAAAACTAACAATGTATCCTAAACCTGTGTATACTTATAAACAAATAAATATAACTATATAATAAAAAAAGTTATCCATAAAAGTATATGCATGTATTACATAGACATATTTATGTAGGGATAATATATACTTTTTACATTAAAATTATACAAAAAAAATTATTAAAAATTGGGGATAAATTGGAAGGAATTATTTTTTAATGGAAAAAATGTTGAAGATAGATATAAAAGGAAAAGAAAAACAAATAAAAATTGTTTATGAAGATTTAAAATAAAAACTTGTTATATAGAAGATTTAAAAAAAAAAAAAACTAATAAAGTGAAAACAATGAAAATGTTAAAGAATAAAAATTGAAGAAATATTAAGTGTATTTCAGATAGTGATGATGGTATAAAACATTTCCTAGTATCAAAATTGTTTCATTCTTTTAAATATTTTTTATTATTTTTAAAATGAGTGAAATTAGTATAAAAAATAATAATGGTGTTTTATTAAATTACAACGTATTAATCATACTTAAATTGTGATTCACGGAAAAACAGTGGCAACTTACAATGTAATAATTTATATATTCACTTTTTGAAGAGTAATCAAGAAATATGTTAAAATTTAGAATGACCTTTGTACAAATTAAATGCTAAATCTCAAAAAATATCTAATTAAATGAAAACTAATTAAATCTCAAAAAGTATCTCATTAAATGAGAACTAATTAAATACTAAATCTCAAAAAGTTTTATAAATAGCAGCACAGTGTCGTTTGGCCTGACACATATCTTGGCTAAATTATATATGTTAGGTCACAGTTTTTAGCTCTCTTTTTTATGGCAAATTACAAAATCTCGCACATATCTAAATAATACCAAGTACTTTGTACTATTTATAAAAAAATCATTATGTATATAAAAAAAAAATTATTATGTTATTAAATTCATAAGAGTAATTAAGGTATTTTTTTTACAAAATATAGTATTTATATTTATAAAAGTTTAAAAGAATTGTAAGTATCCTAAGTACCTAGATACTTTCAGCAATTATATATATATATATATATATATATATATATATATATATATATATATATATATATATATATATATATATATATATATATATATATATATATATATATATATATATATATATATCAACTTGTTTCTCTGCGCAGTGACCTTGTTCATCAAGGTTTGTGTTTCGGAGTTATAGAGTTGAGAGAGAGTTATAATCACAATTAAGTAGCCTGCTCGTCTGTATTGGCCTTCTCGACCTTGGGGAGGTGAATTAAATAAAATATGAAGTAAAATAAAAATATGAATAAAATTAAAAAAAAAAAAAATATATATATATATATATATATATATATATATATATATATATATATATATATACATATAGGATCAGCAATAAAAAAAATTTGATTTGAATAGATTGAACTTGCATAGGTTTGAACTATCAGAACTAGATATGTTCAATTTTCATAACATAATCTTTTTTCAATTAAAATTGTTTTTTTTTTTGTTTTCTAAATATACTAAATGTGTTTTTTTTTTTTCTAATTAATTTAAAATATTTATTATTTTCAGAATATTTTATGTTTTTTTCTATTCAGTTGAAACAATGTTTTTTATTTACTAACCATTTCAGGGTGTTAGCCCAAAATATATTTTTTACCGCTTTTTTGCAATACTGGAAAATATATTTTTATTGTTCTGCAAAATATTGGGAAATTTATTGAAATTGTCCTATTACTTTTAAAAAAAAAGGTCATTGAATTTTGGGAATCATAATGGGTATTGGTATATGCAGTGCCATTGCGCTGACTAACTCTCTGCATTTAAGAGATGATATACAAAGTGATATACAATTTCGTATAATAGTGTTTTTGACATTATAAAGTTCTTTTTATTTGCTTTTTTTATATATCATCATAAACTTTTTTAACTACCTGAATTTACTAAATTACCGCAAAATTAGATTAAATAATTAACTCAAAACAAGTTTAGATTTTAATTATATAAAAATATAATTGTTTATTTTCTCAACATTAAACACAATCATGTTTTGTCTATAACTGTATATATATACACACACACATATATATGCATATATATATATATATATATATATATATATATATATATATATATATATATATATATATATATATATATATATATATAGTGGTGTACACTTGGACTTTGGTTGGTTGTCCAGTGGGCGACTGAGAGTAATTATTTAGCTAATCTTGGTCATCCAACATTGTTTAGAGTTGTCTGTTATCATTAAAAAAATATATATATATATATTTATGTTCTAAATATGTCTTTAATGAGTTATTTAAAGTGTGTGTTTTCATTAGAAATAAAATTATATTTTCATATTTGATGAACAAAAAATTATGAAAAAGATTATTTTTTTTTCAACTTATCGGTTATGATATGTTAAATTTATTGTAAGAAAACTATTGATGCATTTATAAAATAGCATTTGAAATGTCTTGGTATTTTTATTTGGACCACTTTTTATATAATTAAACTTTAAATAAATGAGAATTGCGAGAAAACTATTGATGCATTTATAAAGTTGTGTTTAAAATGTCTTGGTATTTCAATTTGTGTCATGTTTTTAAGTAATTAAATTTTGATGGAATGAAAATGCCACTTAAATGACTAAAAAAAAAATTTTAAAAACATTTAAACTAGCGTTTTAGACATCTTGTTTTTATTGCACACTTCTTTAAAATAAAAGCGAAATGGTGTTCTAAGTTAAACAGAGTGGCATAAGTTAATAAAAAAGAAGGAAAATAAACTTCAGCAATTAGACTTTGAAAATGTTGCTTTATTGTTACGTTAGATTAAAAAGTAATTATCAAAAGCTTTTTTGTTAATAAAAAGTAATAGTCTCTCGATAACAACTTAAGCAACTTAAATTTAAGTCTAAAGTTGAAAAATGAACCATTTTAAATATTTGTCCGGCCGGGCGACTCAATTGCATCAAAACATTATTTTCAATAGCCCTTTGAAAGGTTCGGGTGGCATTTGCCATCAGGCGACCAAGAGTGTACACCACTGGAGAAGAACTTTCTGTCACCCACCACACTGCTATCATAAGCAGTGTTATAGCTATCTCAAGAAGAGAAATAAAGTAATAAGTTTAGATGCTTAAAAAATTAAACAGTAGGTAAAAGACTTGACTAATTCCACATGCAAGCTAATTTCTGTTCATTTAGATGGAAAGTTATTTTAAAAATATTCAACAGGTTTCAACAGGAAGGTGTGTGATCGCATGCTATTATATAGTCAGGCAAATAACGTTTTGATTTAGCAATTTGACCGCGGCTATTTTAAAAAACATTTCAAAAACGTCACTAATAATTTTTTATATCGTTCATTGTGAGAATAAATATATTAAAAAAATTTTACTCAATAATGTTAAAGGGTGGCACACTTGGGGTTGAAAATTGTCAAAAACTTGGGGTTGAAAATTGTCACACTTGAGGTTGAAGATTGTCAAAAAAGGTTTTGAAAAAAAACTAATTTGAGGCCATGTGAGAAAATAAAAATAAAATGATTATTATAATTTATTACATTTTAGTAAATAGTTTTGTTAGTTACACTGTAATGTTTTGTATCATGTCATAAATACATCAGAGAAACAATCATCAGCAACAGAGAAACAATCATCAGCAACAGAAAAACAATCATTAGCAACAGAGAAACAATCATCAGCAACAGAGAAACAATCATCAGCAAATGAGAAATCGTCAGCAACAGAGAAACAATCATCAGCAACAGTTGTTTTTCTGATATTTATTCAAGCATCATAATATTGTCTAGAAAAGTTTTTAAAAATGCATTTGACTATATTATTTAAGCTCTATTTTAGTATATATTTAAATCACTTATTTATTAAAACAATTGATTATTTTATAAATATTTTATTGAAATTATTAAATATGCGTGTATTTACCTTTACATAATAATTAGTGATGTACCAATTAATCGTCAACGGCTAATGGGCAACTTTTTGCACAATCAGAATTGGCATTTATTAATTTACCAGTTTTATAACTGATGGCATTTTAACATTTTTATCTTTCATTATGATAATAATTAAATAATAAATAAATTAAACTTTATGCATTACTTAGAATTTTTTTTGAGAAATTGGTTTTTTTTTGGCATTGTTTACAGGCAAATAGGTTTGTTCTTAAGATGTTTATAAACTTTGATTTAACAGCTGAATGTACTTATACTTTTATTACCATAATGTTGTTTATAGAATAATTTTTTTTTGTATTGTGGTATTGTTATACTTTAAAGTTATCTATTTAAGGATTGTTATGTGTATCTGTTTAAGTATAGCTTTCTATATTTCTATATGATTGTTGTTTAAATATCTAAATGAATAATAAAATAATAAAGAATTTAAAGTAAACTGCTTATCTTAGTACCATTTTCTTTTTAAAATTAAAATAAAAGCGTTCCTCTAAAATTGTACTTATTTTTTGAAAGTTTTTCTTTTCATATTAAAAAAGCTAAAAAAAAAGGATACTTTTTTGACTGAGTTTTTCTAATATCTTTTAAAATAATGGTTTGGCACTGATTTGGGTCCAAGTATTTGTTTATCAATATTGCAGGCCTTGTTTTAAATAAAAAAGTGCTTAATGCATTAGCTTAACGCGATTTTGACGTCATAAAATTATCTTTATTTTTTTTATAGACGTTAAGTGTTTTAACTACTGCAATAAATAAATAACCGCAAACTAGTTCAATTTAACAATTAACTCAAATATAAACTATAAACGTTTTAAATATAAATTTATTATGAAAATTTTGTAATGTTTTCTATTGTTATTTTATTATTAATTTTAGTTCAATATTATTTAGTAAAATATATATATATATATATTAATTATTTCTGAAATTTGTTTTTGAATAATTGTTTTTAATCGTTATTGAATAAAAAATAATAATGATTTTTTTTATTTTTAAAAATTTCTAATGTAAACAAAAAATATTAACACTGATAAACACAAACCCATGTTAATTATTTAAACAACGATTTTGTTTTGACTAGCAAAGAAAAATTTAAGTTTTTAAATATTTTTTAATTTTTTAAAAGCGTTTCAACTTGCGTTTTATAAAAATATAAAAAAGTTTTGTCTGCTTTGAGCATATTTTTGATACGTAGTTTAGAACAGGTTCGCTAGGAATTTAATTCATAAAGTTTTTATGTTATTGTAAAAATATTTAACTTTTTAAACAAATCACAAAGAAACAGAGCTATAGAGAAAAATCGTTTTCAACGATTAAATCTTTTTTTTTTTTAATTTTAGGAAATTAAAAAAAAAATTAAATTAAATATAAAAGTCTTAATTATGCAAACTCTTTTGTTAATTATTATTAAAACAAAAAAACAAATACTATTACGCCAAACTTTAATCGTGCAAACTTAAAAAAATACTCAACTGAAATAATTTAAGTATATTTAATAATTTGAATTGTATTTGTTTATAATAAACTTTCGTAAAAAATTTTGTTTATTAAAAATTAAGTTCCTTAACTTATAAACAAACTCAAAAGTATTTTCATTCTATGTATAATTACAAAACTCTTTTTTTTTTTTGTTTGTAAGCAATTTAACTTAATAAAATAAAAAAAAGAATAAATATGAGGTAATCTTTGTTAAGAATAAATTTAATTTATTTATTGAACTTTATTTTTATTTTTAATTATATATCAACTTAATTAAAATATAGTAACATGTTAAAATATTTTAACATGATATAAACCGTTGGGCAGTTGCCCTTACGGCACAATTGTTTTTGGATATTATTTTATTTTTATGAAGATCACATAATTTACATTTGATTTTAATAACGTAAGTCTTCTCTTTTTCTGTGATCATCGCATCGGCAAAGTCCCAAGATTTAAGAGTTTTTAAAGTAAATCTTTTGTCCTTCAAAATACAATCCATATATGAACTTTAAACAATTTAGAGAGAATAGAAATATACAAGGTTTTTATATACTAGTTTGTTTTGTTTTATAAAGTAAAATACATATTCATTAGTAAAAAATGGAGACTGTCATTAAACTAAAATGTGCCTTAGTATTTATTTAACGGAACCTGTAATGTAATCGCACGCAGAAGAATTTTAACAAATTGTCTTCATTCAAATATTGCGAGTATTAGGTAATTTTTTTTTTCTGTGCCGACCCCCTCCCCCCGCATAATTTAAACTATATACCTTTAACTAATAAGAAAAGCAAAGACATTTTTTTTAACATCTCGAAAAAATGTCTTGATATTTTTGTTATCATGATAATAAAAATATGAAGACATTTTTTGAGATTTTATTTAAAAAAATGTAAATTCTTAATTACAAATTTTTTTGCAAATGTTTTTTATTATAAATTCAGTAAAAAATTCATAAAAAATCTATATTACAAAAAACTTTTATATTCTGTATTAATAAATATGGAATATAGATTTTTTAAAAGTTTTTTACTAAAAACTTTAAAAAATTACTACTTTTTATTAAAAACATTGCAAAAAATTTGTAGTTAAGGATTGACAAACAATTTTTCATGTTGCTAAATATTTGGATAAAAAGTTTAGCGTCAAATTAATTGCTATAAAAAGGAAAGATATATCGCGATGAAAAGTTACAACAATTATTTTTAAAGTAAATTCTTTTTTTTTTTAATAAATATCTTTACATATCGTTATTTAAAAGTTAATGTGGTTTTTTTGAAAATTAATTACTTCTTTTATGTTACCGCTAATTTAAAAGTTAAAAAATAATAAAAAGTAGCTTAACCAAAACAGCTCTACGCGTACGTAAAAAGCGCTTAAGGCGTACGTAAATCGCTCTAGGCGTAACGCTTTAAAAAAAGGCCTGTATTGATTCCATGAAAAAAATTTACACGATTTAAAGTTGTATGGTTTTATATTTTCAAAATTTTAATTAGTTAATTCATCGGCCACAAATGTGCTATCGGTACATCGCTAATAATAATGAATGAACATTTTTTTGTTATTATGTAATTACATAATTTTTATTATAAGTGATATTTTATTTAAAATACACTAAATGTTTTTTCACTACTTGTTAATGTAAGGAAAGTTTGATGCAACCCAAAAAACTTAAAATTTATAGATAAATTTTGGTGTTTAAAAAAAAAATTGCGTTTTGCGCGGGCTTTATTTTGCCCATGTAAACTGCGTGGAGGCAGCCATGGATGATTTATATATATATAAATATATAAATATAAATATGTTTATATGTGTGTGTGTGTGTGTATATATATATATATATATATATATATATATATATATATATATATATATATATATATATATATATATATATATATATATATATATATATATATATATATATATATATATAAATTAGTAAAAACACTTATTTTCTTCAACAAGTTGTTTCACCATCAGTAGGTTCATCAGGAAGCATTACTGATTCCTGAGCTGCTTTCTAGTTTAACCTACTGATGGTGAAACAACTTCTTGAAGAAAATTAGATAAGTGTTTTTACTAATATATTATTGCTCTGTTCTTTAAGAACATTGAGCACTCTATTTGTAGAATACACTAACATAATTTACACACACACACACATACACACACACACACACACACACACACACACACACACACACACTAACACACACACACACACATATTGCCAGCCTTCCAAATACTTGTTAAAAATTAGTTTTCTATAATTAATTTTTTTTACTTATAGAAATACCAAGACAAGCAATGTCTTGCAGGTGAGATTTTTTTTTCTCTTTCTTAGTATAATTTTTTAATTGAAACTAAACATAAAATGAACATATGTTATTATAGGTTTAATATCAAATTTATCTCCTAGGTAAGTTGCCTTCCTTAAGTTTAAGTAGTCTCATTTAATAATATCTAATAATAATATATATATATTTTTTCTGTTTTTATCTGAACATTTTTTTAATCATCTTTAACATAACAGTTGCTATCAATACAGTTAAAAAAAATGTAATAATAATTTTATTAAGTTCAGGGAAATAAATATTTACAAAGTTACAGGCCTTGTTATTGCATAACAAAAAGGCTTAATGCTAATAAATGTAACTTTAACACAGTTTTGATAGTTGCATCGTTAAAAGTTAAATTGCTCATTAGTAAATTGTAATTTAATTTAGTGCCACATTGTAATTTGATTTAGTTTTTCTGATGAAATCTAAATTCGGTATTTAAAAAAGATTATATTTTCTAATAATTTATTTCTTGAAACAATCTTATTCTCAGTATAATCTTTTGTTTCTTTATCACAACTTATTTTTTTTACCCATTTAATGTAATATTTTTAATGTATGAGATTTTAAGAATGAAGAGATTTGTTTTACTTAATGAATTAATTAGCAGATGATAAGAATAAAATTTCTTCTTTAATAAATATTGCACAACTATTTTAAATTCCTTTAAAACTAAATTTTATATTATACATTTTACTAACTAATTTACATTCCTTCAAAACTAAATTAAAATTTTTTAAATTATATTTAATTCAAAGTCTTGATATATATATATATATATATATATATATATATATATATATATATATATATATATATATATATATATATATATATATATTATTATTATTATTATTATTATTATTATTATTATTATTATTATTATTATTAATATTATATTATATTGCAATCTTTTAATATAATTCTCTTAATAATTTCACAGTTTCCCATTTGCGATTAAATGCTTTTTTTTTTTGACTTGGTATTTTCTATTTAAACGACACCTAAACTTTATTAAAAGATTTTTCTAAAATAAAGAATTTATGGCTAAAGAATAATGAGCAAAAGATTACTGCCCCATGCAAAACTCTCTGTCGATCTAGAGGCACTATGCAGCAACAGGCTATTAGATATGTACCAAAGCCCCCGGCAACAGGTAATTTCAATGTTATGTCACTGTGCTGATCTAAACATGCATTTATAGTTGTATATATATATATATATATATATATATATATATATATATATATATATTGCAGCTGACAGGTGATATTGTTGACATGCCTCGTCTTAAAAGGTCATTGAAGCATAATGACCAAAGTAAATATGATAAAAGTAGCATAAGAGCCAGCAAAAAAAATCTTTTTCTAATCAAAATGTAAGCATAAAACTTATTAGAAGAATATTAGCAAAAATGAGGTTTTAGGTTTTACAATGCAATAAGAAAAACCTGTCTATCATAGATCTATCATTTATTCTTGTATTGATAAGATAGCCAACACACTCTGATTACCTGAAAGGGGCATTTGAGCTTGAAAAGGATCTCACCACTGCTACAGTATGGGGCTCTTGGTGGCTGGTGAACTTTAACTCAGATAAAACTCAATTTTTTTCAGCTAATTGTTATAGATCTTCATATATTTATGAACGGTAATGTACTCAATTTGCAGACAACCTCTAACCATTATCACATCATAATTTTGCTTCTCTTTCTCTTTTCTATAAATACTATAATGGACACTGCTCTAAAGAGCTTGTGTCTCTTGTGCTATCTACTAAAATTCATTCTTGTGTTACTCCTCATCAATTAAGTCTCATCCTTTTATTGTGACTGTTCCAAAAGTGCTCCAAAATATCTTATTCATCTTGTTTTTTTCCTTGAACATCAGTTCTTTGGAATTTGCTTCCTTCATCTTGTTTTCCTGATTCATATAATTTGCAATTCATCTGTTAATAGTTATCTTGCTCTATAAACTTCATTTTTTTCTCCTCCAATAACTTCCAACTAATAGTGGTTGCTTGCAGCCTTGTTGGAAGTGAAAATGTTTAAAAAAAAACAAAAACACAAGAGTTGCAAAAAAAAAAATGTTTGCATTGGACAGATGGTTGGAAAAGAAGTAATTTAGAGCAAATAGTCAAGTTTTTTAATATTAAGCAAAAAAAGAATCTATGTTTAAAAATTTGTAACTGAGAAATATTTTGAATGTTATATACAAGCAAGGCGACATGACAGTGAAGGTTCAGTGGGCTTACTTTCTTATTTAATGCAGTGGGATATTTTACCTACAAAAGTGTTTGTATGTGTAAACTGTATATAGCTGCAAAAACAATCATGCTTGATTCCATTGATATTGCCAGATATTGATGGAATCAAAGCCAGATCGTCGATAGGGCAGTCGTTTTGCAATGCCTTTATTATAGTCTATTGGCAATTGTCAAACATCCTTTATGATTAACTGGCTGAATTTCAAGTAAAGCTAAATCTTTTGGTATATTTCCACAATTGGTGGCGTGTCTATTTTGTTATTTTAAAACTAGTTGGAGTGTAAATCTTTTATAACTTAATCTTTTAAATATAATTAGAGGATCTCCAACATAATTATTTTAAAAGAATTTATTAACTTCTTAAGCAGTTGAGTCATTAGTTTTTCACAACTGTTTCTCCATTTGTTGCTTCTCAGAACAATTCCAGAGTTGCTAATAGGTGTTGCAGAAGAAGGTTATTTGTATGAAGTGCACAAATCAGCCAATTCAATTATCTTCTAATTTCATTTCTGACTATTCCATTGCTATGTCTGACCACCCTGTGTTTTTTTTTAATTGTTACAATTTGCTTTTAAGTTTTTATAAGTTTTAAGTTTTACAATTTACAAGTTTTACCTTTTTTTTTCTTCAAATATTTATATATATTTTAAACAATTATTATCAAGTGACAAAGTGTATAATGTTTCTCTGTTATGTTAGCAGGACAAAGCTCTAACTTAGTAATCATCTCTACATTATTTCAAGCTGCTTTTTTCAATAAACCTATACTGTATCAGTATTACTTGCTAAAACTATGTTGGAAGCTATGTTGGAAATAATTGAGTTTCTTTGTTCTCTTACGCTATCCTGTCATTCTTTTAACACATGAGATTGAGTTCAGTATTACTAAATTTTCTTTACTAAATGGTTAATCCAGGCTTGGTCGGGAAGCGGTCGCGGTTGCTCTCGATTGCTGACCACGGCAATAATATTTAGTTGCGAAAAGCTGGCCAGATTTTTTAGTCGTTTTGAGAACATTTCAAAAAACAAAAAAATTGCGCTAAAAATTAATTGGACTGATGAGAGACAACAAAAAATTATATATATATATATATATATATATATATATATATATATATATATATATATATATATATATCTTTTAACGTGAAAAAACATAAAGCAAAATAAATTCACTCTTTCATAACTTTTTGTATAAAATTAGGCGACGTTTTTTATATAAAGTAACTTCTTACGATTGTTTAAAAAGAAAACAAATTTTCTTTATTTTACAAAGTTTGAAAGTTTTAGTTTTATTTAAGCTAAATTATTTTATAAATAAAAAAGTTAATTTTTTTAATACCTATTTTATGTTTCGCCTAGTTTAAAAAGTTTAACATATTTGAAGCAATTCTTCTTAGTAAGTTAAACAGATAAAATAATTAAATCACTGAATTACTAAAGAAATTAAATTACCTAGATAGAAATCAAGTAAAGAGGTTGAAAATACTATATGACAAGGATGAGAAACTGCTTCACAATATCGCTGATGATGTTTAGTGAGTGGGCTTTTTAATTTTAATTAGTATTTAAAACAGAAAAAGTATAACGAGTTTTTAAGAATTGCAACTTAAGCAAAAATAATTAGAGTTAGTAAACCAGTATCTAGAAACTTTATTAATAATTTGCTATATATATTTGTGTTCTGTCGTAACCTTAGGCACGGTGTTTGTTCATCCGCGAGTTACTTTGTATGTGTTCTTTGTGTTTAGTAACCAGAAACTTTTTATATATTTGTTACATAATTAGTTTTATTAACTTTAATGATTATTATTAACTTCATTAAAAACGCAAATATTTTTGTAAGTCTTTGTTTACAAATTAAATCATAAAAATTGCTTTAAAAGATACATTACGATAAAAAACAGATACACAAAATTACATTTACATAAAGAATACATACTTAATTTAAATAAAAAAATAAGAATATACTAATAAAATCTATAATTTATAATAAACTCTCAAAATTTTGACAATTTAAATAATATATATTTAAAACATTTATTTTTGTAAACAAATAATAATAGTTTATAAGATTTATGGCTTTGTAGATGTGGCTCCGAGAATGAGCCATAGTATTGATAATATATTCTTAAAACAATTTATGTTATTATTATGTAAATCTCAAAACAATACAAATTCTAAAACATTTCAATATAATACTTTAAAACTTTATTTTGCTTAGTCAGCGTACTTTTTGCGTGGGTTTTTAGTGTTTGCGAATATTCTTTTTATTCTTCCGCACCAAGATGTTTTGAGAACATTCCAGTTTTTTATGTTTCCATGTATGTCCTTAAAACAAAAATTTTTTGTTTTTTACATAAACTTAAATGTTCTCAAAACGGCTAAAAAAACCTGGCCAGTTTTTTGCAACTAAATATAATTTCCGTGGTCAGTATTCGAGAGCGATCGCTCCCGCTTCCGGACCAAGTCTGTTAATCTATATTGCCAAATGATTTCTAATTGTTTGTTGCCGTTTATTGAATGATTTTTGTTTTAGCTTAAGGTAAAATAATTGAATTTTTATTAGTTAATATTTTGTAAAAAAAATTGCAAGTAGGTTTTATTTTAAATTGCTGACTTATTTTAAGTACAACTTAATGCATAAAAGTAGCTGAAAATATTTGTTAAAAAATTATTTTTTTGATCTAAAGTCACATGTTTATAATATAATATAACTCAATATTTTTAAGAGTTTTATTAATTTTTATTTAATTACTAAATCTAATTAAAAAACTAAACTAATTAAAAGGATTTCCTTCTTTGGATCTTTTTTTAGTTAAAAGGGTTTTAAAGTCTAATTTAAAGTACCTTTCTGTTTTCTTCAAAATCAACAAATTTGATGTGGATTGGTAGTCTCTATTTTAGTTTTTTTTTTAGTTTTTATTTTAATTCACCTCCTCAAGGCCAAAAAGGCCACTACAGAGGAGGAGGCTACTTATTCGTGGCTATAACCCTCTCTCAACTCTATAACTCCGAAACACGAACCTTGACGAACAAGGCCACTGCGCGGAGAAACGAGTTGAGCGCGGTACTACCAGAGACATGGTGGGGATCGAACTCGGAACCACTCGTTTATGAAGCGAGCGCTCTACCACTACACCACTACCGCATATAGTTGTCTGAATAAATAAGCAAATCTTTTTTTTTTTAATCTTTTTCATTTTGCACAAGTAATAATTGGCAGTTACAATTAAATATATGAAGCAGTTTGTCAAGTTTAGTGGCTAAAAGCAGTTTGTCAAGTTTAGTGGCCCTGGCTAAAAATGAGACTTTCTGCGAACCCGGCCCCAGCCTTCACAAAATTATAAGATTTAACATGGGTTGATAGCCAGGGCTAGAAAGAAATTTATAATACCAAATACATTATAATTTTATGCTTACATATACTATTTATTAAATATTGGCGTACATTTATATATTATTTTAAACTCTAATTTATTTCAAAAAAATTTGCAAACAACCACTATTAAGTTACTTCATAATAGAGAATAAGTTAAAATACTAGGAAATATATAACCGAAGATGGGTAAAATTTATAAGGCTTTTTTGATGTTCAAGGAAAAAAACTTAATTAATAAAAGTTTTTATAGCATGAAGGGACAGATACAGTAGAAGGATGCAACTTGTTGACTAAAAAGCCAAGCAAGAATGAGTTTTGGTTTATTGCTATAGAGATGATAGCTCGTTTGAACATTGACCATGATTATATTTGTAGAAAAAAGAAAGAAATACAACCTTTCAACAATGGGAGAGTGGCTCAAGCTTAACAGATAAAGCAGGTCTAATTACATTTACAATGTGCTTTTAGACTTTGTCTAAGAGTAAAAGGGTTGTTAATCGTCAATATAGGAATGCTAACAATGTTGCAATACTTTTTTGCAGTAAATAAATGAGTTTTATTGTCTAACAAAAGTTGTAGATTTTAGGTCTAGAATTTAAATTCATAAGCCACTGCAAGCCTTACCCAGTGTGGCATGGACGTAAAAAAGACGTCTTTTAAACGTTTTATACACGTTTTGGACGTCTTTTGAACATCTTTCGAACCTTTTGGACGTCTTTTGAACGTTCAAAAGACGTCTTTTTTTTCTATAAAGTAACTAATAACAGAGTGAAGACTAATCGTAGGATAGTTAATGAGGTAAAAACAGTAAGCAAAAAAGGCTTGTTGCAAAAAAGACTAATTATTTTTAAAAATTTTAAATTTATCTTATATTATACATATATACATGATCATTTGATATATGACTGCAAACTTAGCTAACTGATGTTTGCAAACTTAGCTAACTGATGTTTGCACTTACAGATATTTGTCCGTAATGTAACAAATAGAATTTTTACTCTAAATGTAAATGACATATTGTTATCAATTTACATAAGTTACAAATTTAAATAAATTTCTTATACTTCCTTATAAAAAATACTGAGAGACTCTTTCTCACCATTAACTCAGGTTTAATGGCTGCTCTAAGATCTGCAAACAAGCACTAATGAGCATTATTAAGTTGCTCAATATATATGATTTCTCTAAACTATTATGTCTTAATTGTAGACCAATTTACATTTTATCTATTATAATCAAGCTCCTTGAAAGACTAATGTATTCTAGATTATACTCTTTCTTAAGTTCCTTTGAATGTTTGAATGACTTTCAGTTTGGATTTTGATCAAAACATTTTACTAACAACACTTTAATAAGTATAATTGAAAAAAATCAAAAAAGCAAAGGATATTAGTCAGTTTGCAATTATGGAATTATAACAAGAACATTATGGAATGTGCGGAGTTGTTTGTGATTGGTTTCAATCTTACTTTTCAAATTGGAAGCAGTTTGTTAGCATTAATGGTTAATTTGTAGTGTTTCTCAGAGTTCTGTTTTTGATCCTCTATTGTTTTTGGCGTAAGTCAATGATCTAAATAACTCACTTCTCATCGGTCCAACTATCTGCTGATGAATCAAATATCTTGCTTATCAATGTTTAGTTCATTGACAGTATGCAAACTTGTATTCTCTTAACTTGGTAAAAAACATAAGCAATTTTTTATTCATTTCCTAAACAAAAAAGATTATATAACAATCATATAACTAAAATTAAAGTTAATAATAGACATCTATATCCAACAACATTAAATATAAAGTATGTAATATTAAGTATATATTTTGCATAATAGAAAACATTTTTTTTTTTTAATATTTTATCTTTTAATAAAATACTATTTTTAGCGTTAATGGATTGAATGCAGTTGAGGAATGTTCTGGTGTCAAATTTTCTGATCCAACAGAATTAAAAGAATCTTTTGAAAATGAAAATTGTGTTTTTTCAAACAATAGTTTTGAAAAGCAGTGTCAATCATCGAACCACCTTGATAACAATACCGAATATAATACACTTTTGATGAGTAGTTCGCCATCTCAGAGTAGTATTACAATGCCAAAACATTTTACAAACATTACTGCATTGAAACAGAAAATAATGAGCAGGTTACCTGGAAAGGTTTGCAAAGAATGTTTTTATCAAAGTATTTATTCTCAATTGAGTCGCTTAGGTATTGTTAAACCGAGTAATATTGATGTGCTCGAAAATAACAAAAAAAATGATGATCTATGTGATGATGAAGCATTTCCGCTTCAAGGTGATAGAAACTTAGATTCTTGCAAGAAAAAAAGTCTTCTACGAAGTGTATCTAAAAGAAGTGTAAGCAAATTTTTTTTTATCATTTAGTATTTTGATAGAATTAAAAGAATAAAAAAATAATCTAATACTTTACAAAAGTGCAACTTTAAATAAAGATAAAATTTTAGTTGCTTGCATTTCTGTTGTTTCAAATATATAGATTAATATATAAAAACAGAAATTTTTTTAAGCTTACTGAGATGGATTGGTATGAGTTGACAAAATTTGCTGAAGGAGAATTATTTGATCCCAACTCTGCTACTGCTCAAGAGATAGTATGTTATAAAATTTTTTTTTGTTTTGGAAATTTATATTTTTCAAGCTAGTACAAATTTTACCATAAACCTTTGAAATTTTATTATAGCCCTTTGAAATTTTACCATAACCCTTTGAAATTTAAACATAGCCCTTTGAAATTTTATCATAGCCTTTCGAAATTTTAACATAGCTCTCTGAAATTTTAGCAAAGCTTTTCAAAATTTTCACATACCCCTTTGAAGTTACTATGTTTCATTCTATATGGTTTTATTTTTTTATCATCACATTTCTATGTAAAATATAAATTTTTTAATTACTAATTACATTTTAATTTTTTTAATTCTTATATAATATTTTTTACAGATTATATTATTCTTTTTTATATGAAAATATAATTTTTATTACATAATTTTTTGTATATATTGTTAATATATTCATTTTCTTCAGTTGCGAGTAATTGAAGAAGGTAAAGATGAGTTATCAGTTGCATTTAAACTAATGCATAATGTTGACTTTGAATTTGTGGTAGAGGAAGCAGAAAAATGTGTTCAATGTGTTTTAAGCACAGGTTGGAAAGTGGTTTCACATTGGGAACTACCAACATGGCTTCGAGACAATGATTTTTTATGGCATATGCATAGACCTCAGTTACCATCTTTTCGTGAATGTTTCTCCAGCATGTTTAGGTTAGAAGAATATTTTTTTATTTTTCTGATTATTAAAAGCTGTTTACTTATCTATAAAATGATGTATAATTTTGTCAACATTTACAAAACTGATAGATAAATAGCAACCAAGTTTTTGAAGTTTGAATGCAGTAACTCAAAACCAGCAATTAAGCATAGATGCAATATTTTCATTTGGTAGATTTGCAATTTTTTATATCTATTTATTTATCTTTTTATGTGTGTATGTATATACCAGAGTTGAAATAGGTGTCAGACATTGTTGAAATAGGTGTCAGACATTGTTGAAATAGGTGTCAGACATTGTTGAAATAGGTGTCAGACTTTGTTGAAATAGGTGTCAGACATTGTTGAAATAGGTGTCAGACTTTGTTGAAATAGGTGTCAGACATTGTTGAAATAGGTGTCAGACATTGTTGAAATAGGTGTCAGACTTTGTTGAAATAGGTGTCAGACATTGTTGAAATAGGTGTCAGACATTGAAATAGGTGTCAGACATTGTTGAAATAGGTGTCAGACATTGTTGAAATAGGTGTCAGACATTGTTGAAATAGGTGTCAGACATTGTTGAAATAGGTGTCAGACATTGTTAAAATAGGTGTCAGACATTGTTGAAATAGGTGTCAGACATTGTTGAAATAGGTGTCAGACATTGTTGAAATAGGTGTCAGACATTGTTGAAATAGGTGTCAGACATTGTTGAAATAGGTGTCAGACATTTCTGCTTCTCAGACCATTCTCAAGACCTGCTAAAAGCAAGCAACCAACCATTGTTCATTTTGTCAGAAAAAATGAACAATGGTTGGTTGCCTATGATATTAACACTGCTTAGCATTAAGTGGTGCCAGCACTTCATTATAATAACACTAGTTTGCTGGCTAGAATTAAAACATATTGCCAGTTGTAAACTATGGCAATATAAAATAATCTTTTTAGACATTCAAGCACTTTTATATTTTTTCAACAGGTTTTGATTTCCCTACCAAAAAGATTTTACTAATGATTTTTCATCCAAGAATGTTGCTACAAACATCTTTCATTCAAGTGGAAGGTTGTTGCTGCAAACATCTTTCATCCAAGTGGAAGGTTGTTGCTGCAAACATCTTTCATCCAAGTGGAAGGTTGTTGCTGCAAACATCTTTCATCCAAGTGAAAGGTTGTTGCTGCAAACATCTTCTTACAATTTATGAGTTGCATCTGAGTCATGTTTGGGTATCATGAATGTCTTATTGAACAAATACAAACTAACTTGCTTTGAAAAGTGTCTATGTGTTCAATTAGTTCAACAACTATACCCTTTACTGTTAATTCATCCTCATAAGATGTGGCTTTTTTTTGTCTGGGAAAAGAAAATTTCCCCTATTGGAATAATTTTATATATTTTTAGGATCATTTTATCACCCCTTTGTTTTTGTCCTTCTATTTATAATAACATCAAATGTGATATGAATAACAGCGCTCTCTCCTTTTATGAACTTGAATCATGCAGTAAGTTATGCATCACACTGAGCATCACAATCTGAACCCACTTTGCTTTTTCTCTAAAATATATATCTGACTTTACTAAAAGATGAACTTAAAGGCATGTAATAGTGTAAGGCATAAATAGTTAAATACCCTAGCATTGGTCACAATGATTTAAGAACACTAAATTATGGCAATGACAATCTTAAAATATGTTTATGTCATCATGATCAATTAATTCATTTGTCTAAATATGTGCACAGTTATGTCTCTTGTAAATATATTTAGGATATTTTTTGCTGCATACTTTATCTTTTATGCAAGCCAAATTTGGATTTAGTATACCAGTAGTGTCATAATAGTGTCACATTTTATAATCAGATCTGGAATTTTTGCAGGTTTTGAATTATTAATATTTTGTGAGTAACCAAGTCAGTTCTATAATTTTTTCCAACCTGGATATAATTTTTCAGTTATTTCATTGCAAGAAAAAGTAATAACCTCTAGTTTACCATTCTTCTTATTAATTGAATTTTCAAGTTTTTGTTAAATAGGCTCTATGCATAAGGTGATGACAAGAATACAACTTGACCTGTTCTAACAGTGCGATTGATTGCAAAGTTTTTTACATGTTAATGTAAGGCTCCATACTGCTCGCTTTTAAATTTGATTTGGTTATTTCTAATTAAAGCATAATGCTGGCATTCAATTTTGACATATGCATCAAAAGCATGTTTCTAAGAACTTTCTTAACATGTAATATTGAACAGAAAAATTGTATAACTGAAAGTCTATAATTGTAGAACAGAGACAGTGTAAAATTATTTCTCACCTGCGTAGCATGTTCAAGGTTGTACACTAACCATAAGCTTTAAGTTGGCAGATATACTCAATCTAGTTTTTAGAGGATGACCTCTTGGGTAAATAAAAACTTCCCTGAAACAGGTGGAGCACCATTTTTGTAATAAAAACAGTTTTATTAAAGTAAATTGCAGCAACATTGATTGCTTACTCCAAATTAAGTTTTATCATTTGCAGACTGATCAAAAGTTAAGATATTTTTATGATTGAAATTGACCTTTTAAAGAGCTTAAAAATTCAATTAAGAGTTAACAGAAGAAATTTAAAAAACAAAAGAGTTAATAGAAAACTTAACATAAGTAAATGTTCTTTGAGAAAGAAGACTAATGACACCCTAAGCTATAATTAGTTACCTCATTCGTGTTCATCAACTAAATGGCGTATTAAAATGCTACTTATGTGGTTTATAGTGACTCTTTTCATGTGCAATGTTGATACCCTGATATTTTAAAGCTGTTGAGGAATCAGCCTTTATGAGAAAAAAAGGTCTTGAAACCCACTATCAGCGGAACCTGAGATCATACAATTAAGTTTTAGAGCTGTCTCCTTATTAGGAGATAACAGAAAGATTTCCATAGGCGGATCACCAATAAGGTGCAAGCAAAAATTGAGCTATGTATATTCAGTTATTACCTATCTGTCTGTTTTTAATTGAACTATTTAAACTGATTTAAATAATAACAGTTGTTAATATATTTGCATTCAGAATATCAAAACAAATGAAATTGCAACGGAAAGTTCATTTGAAATATAAATAAATAAAAAGTTACAAATAAAAAAATTTTAAAATCATTAACAACAAAGTTATAAATATTTTTACTACTTGAATTTTTTGTTTCACTCATTGTATGGATGAACCAACAACTAAAAAAAAAGCTAACAAGAGCTAAGCTGAAACCATATAGAGGGGGCATTGAACATGCCCCCCCCCCCTTCGTTTATTAGATTTTGACTAAAATTCCTACCCACTCGTTCATTCCCACCCCCCGTTGTATTCGGCACTCAAGAGTATTGTTGCAAATACAACAATAACTAAAAGTTTTAAAACAAAAACATGCAAATTTAGAATTTTTAAAGAGGTTTTTAAATTAATTTTTTTTTTATAAGATGTATGTTTTTCTAAAGTAATCATATCCAAAAAATGCTTGACTTTCACAACCTAGTAATCATACCCTGTATGTACAAAGAAAAATTTTTGACTTTCACAAACTAGTAATAATAATTAATAACAAATAACAGAGTTATTTGTTATTAACTATTATGTGGAATATGGTAGAAAGTTCTACCACAAGCAGACTAGTAAAATTTACATTTCTAAATATAGATGATACCCACTCTGTTTTAAATGTAGATATTACCACATAATTATTAAGCACAGATCTAAGTATAGGTTATACTCACTCTTAAGTGTAGATATTACCACATAATTATTAAACAGACTCTACACATGATTATATGACACTCGTATATTTAGTTAAAACATTAAAAAAAATTTTTGTCTATTTTTAAGATTAAATATAAAAAAAACATTTGACTACATATATATTTTTTTTTAGTTTTTGTTTTCAAAATTGCTTAAGTTTATTATTGACAGTTTATGAAAAGAACCTTTAATTTGTAGATTGCATACAGAAACTGGTAATATTTGGACCCATTTTGTTGGATTTCTTCTTGTTATAGCTGCTATGTTAATGCTTTATACTTTACCTGACAAAGTCATTGGCGATTTTCCAAAGGATTGGGAAGAGTATATGGTATTTTCTGCATTCTTTATTGGTGCAATGACATGTCTATTGTTTTCATGGTTGTATCATACATGTTCGTGTCATTCAAAGAAAACTTCAAGTTTATTTAGCAAGTAAGTTTTTTGTTTTTCAATATCTTTATATATTCTTTATAGGTTGTTTTAAATTATGCATTTGTTTTTATACATGCATTTCTTCTTTTTAAATAAGTTTTTAATAATAGTTAAATTCAATGTTATAAATAAAATCTGTAAAATTTAATATCAATGTTTGTTTTTTTTTTAAGTTTTTTTTACATTTATTTACATAAGATTAATAATTATTGTTATCAATATTATTACTAATAATAATAATGTTGTTGTTATTGTTGTTGTTTATTAGTGTTAATATTATCAAGGGTTTATTATTACTAATAATAATAATGTTGTTGTTATTGTTGTTGTTTATTAGTGTTAATATTATCAAGGGTTTATTGGTTATAATTTTATAATCTTTATAAATAAAAAGTTCAGCCTGTGGTTTTTTTCAATGAACTTATAACAATAAATTATATTTTGGGTTACTATTTCTTAAAATTTTGAAAAGATGTGATGCACTTTATATTTCATATTGTATGTAAATAAATAAGTATTGTGTACAGGTATAGTGCCCTTAAATAAATAATATTTCAAAATATAATTGATATTTCAAAACATAAACAAGCCATATAACTTTTAGAAAAAAGTTAAGTTTTAGTGCAGAAATTCAAAAAATTTTCTAATAATTTCTCAGAAGATAGTATTTTGAAAAATTTGAGAACTACAATTGACTAATTTTAGTTCTCAAATTTTTCATCGTTTATTTTTAACTTTTTTGCCTTCTAAAAGAACTTCTAAAAGAAAAAAAATTTTAGAATTTAACTTAACTTAAATTTAAACTTTAAAAACTGTTTTTAATAATCACTGCAATTTTTCAATCAATAATAACAATTCTATCGATTTATTGGAATCTATTGAGTTAAAAATCTTTAATACTGTCTTCTTCATTGTCAGACTTTCTAAATAACTTTTAAAATTCTCCTTTAAAAACTAAATTGGAATTCATTTGATATTTTGTATTTTTTTTACCTTTCATATTTTTAAATATGTCAGCATTTCTGATTTTTATGTTAGAGTCATTTTTTAATTATATTAAAGTCATTTAATCTGGTTCCAAATGCCAGTAAAAATGTACTGATTACTTTTGTGATATTCAAATTTGTTATTGCCTAAATGAGAGCAGGCTATTTCACAAGTGCATTCATGGCTCTATTCATTGTGACACTTCCTTGTCCTTTTAAAGAAACATTGACATGTTTGGCGTCCTGTCGTCTCCAAAATAGTAATTTACTCAGGCTAGAAATAAAAATACAATAATAATCAAACTAACCTTACAATACTGTAGTAAAGAATTACATGTAAGACTTTGCACATATATAAATAACAGTTTTCAAGATTGAATTTTGCTCGGGATCTAAATATTGAAAAGTACAGTACAGTTTTATATATAATGAATTTTTTTTTTTTCTGTAAATTTGTTTAAAATGACATGGACACAGAAACTTACAATTTTTATATTTTAATATTACAATAAAAAATTTTTACCTCCTCTAATGGAAACTGACATATTGATATTGCAGAATATCCTATAATATAACAGAATGTTTCCATTATTTTTGCACCATTCTACATCTTTGTTTATGTGTTTTTGTTTCTTTCATCTCGGTTAAATTGCTTTACATCTGCTTCAGATTTATTCCTTGGCTTTTTAATTGCATTCGCTGCTACTCTTAAGCCAAATTTTGGTTTCATTTTTATTTTTATTTATGATAATGAACATTTTGAACTGTTACAACAATTCCTGTACAAATAAAATAATGTAAAAACTAATAACAGCAATTTTTTGTATTTTAAAGCAAGTATTAGTAAAAAGTGAAAAAAATACTGGCAGAAACAAGTAAGGATTTAATTTATATTCTAGATAAAATTGAAAAAATTAATAAATTTATTAAATTGCAAAGGATTATTAACTTCTGCTCTGTCAAAATGTATTCCTTATTGGTAAGATTAGATTCCTGAAGTTGTGACAATTTAGTGAATGAAGTATTCTTTTGTATACCTCATCACATCGTGAATGGAGTAATCTTTTGCATACATCATCACATAGTGAATGAAGTATTCTTTTGCTTACCCCATCACATAGTGAATGGGGTTTTTTTTTGCATACCCCATCACATAGTGGAAATCATAGACAAGATTATTTCTAAAGACAGAAAAAAATCTAAATATTTATTTAGACGTTTAATTTTTAAATGAATTATTTTGAGCAATTTTTGTTGAATCATTTATTAATAGCAATGGCTTCTTTTCGAGGGTTAAAAAAACTTTTATATAAAATTTGTATGTAAAGTAAGTCCTACAATAGAAGTGTTAAGATATAATTTCTGGTTACTATTTGAAATTCTTACTAAAATATACCAAGCATTAAAGTTTTTTAAGAATTTCGGACATTTTCGTTCATACATTTTTGGCAACTCTCTTTTGACTCTAAACTCTAAAAAATAAACCTTGTTAAACAAGGCATGGAAAAATAGATTGCATTTAATTTCTTTACTACACGTTAGGTGAGAAATGCCTTAGAAATTGATGTTCCTAAGTAAAACATGGTTATAGAAAGATTATGGTAGAAATTCATGCAAAGTGAAAGATACCTTAAATTTATTATTACAAATGAAATATAATAAATAATGGAGGGTTTTATATAAGCTATAGTAAAAATATAAAATTCTTTGTGTCATTCTAGTTTTTATTATCTTATAATCAAATGTAGTTTTTTAAATGAAAAGTTTATTTTATTAATGTTATTAAATGTTATAACATTAAATGTTATAACATTTAATAACATGTTATAAAAGTAAATGTTACACATGTTATAAATGTTATTAAATGTTATAAAAGACTAACTGTTATACATGTTATAAATGTATGACTGTATTGACAAGATTTTATATTAACTGAAAATTTTTTTATTGAACAGAAATAATTAATTAATACTTTTCAACTTAATTTCTTGTAAAAATTGTTTAATGGAAAATCATTTTTTTAATAAATAACAAGGTGAAATTAATTTTTAGTTAAATTTAAGTTTAGTCTATAAAACATTGAAAATAATTCAAGTGTAAAAAGTGTATATTCTATATCCTGTATAGATTTTATATATTACATATTGTATTTAGTGTAGATACACATTGTATGTAGTGTAGATTATAACACATAGTATATAGATTAATTACATAAAGCATGCTAATTTGTTATAAGATAGCATAATGAGGGATTGCATTAATTTAGTTTTGTGATGCAAATTTATGCTGTTGTAAAAGTTTATTAAATAAAAACAACCCCTAAATATTAATTTATTTAATCTATTACAATTGACACAGTAAAAAAATTTTAAACAGGAAGGACACTCTAGAGACCACCATCTGATTTAAGTTGTGCTGTAGCTAGTTACAGAGCCTTGATCTATTTGGCACAATTTATTCCATGATAAATTTTGTTATAGTCTGGGTTATCTTTTTCTGGATATTTCCAGATACATATAATTCAGTAAAAATATTGTTCATCAATTACTCCATACTATATTTAGTTAGGTTAGGCATTATTTGTATGTGTGTACAACAAATTTTTCCTTATTTATACGTGTATATTTATAATTCATTATTTTGACTATATCACTTAAATTTAGTTGAATTTAATATTTTTTTATATAAATTATATTAACTTGTAAACTCTATTTAATTAAGTATTGAAATACTTCTGTATAAAAGAATGCCAAAACTTAAACTCTCAATTTATGTACACTTCACTGCCCCTATCCTTATTCACTCTTTATTCTTCAGCTGTTGTTGTTGGTAACTTTAATGCTTATCACACTAAATGGCTTGGTTCTAGTGTCAGTGGCTCTGCAACTTTTACCTTTCTTAATCTCTAACACAAATAGTCAACTTTCCAATTTGTTTTCAGACAACCTGAATCATTTATCCACTGTGTCTATGATGCACACATTCTATGAAACTTTGAAAAAAAAAGAAGATAAAAAGCAATATAAAAAAAAAAGAAGATAAACAGTTAAAAAATAGTTAAAAAATATTAAACTACTTCAAAGTAAAACTTTGACAAAAAAAAAAAAAAATTTAACAACTTTTCTATGGAGGGTTCGAACTTGCAACCTTGCCAGCTGCACCTCATCTTTACCACTGTGACATTCTCAGTTCCACGCCACTATTTTTCTAATTTGAAAAATTATAATATTTAAACATTTTTCATGTGTAAATAATGTTAATATTATGTGCATAATAATATTATGTTTTATATTAAATAAATAATTTATAATACACATTAAGTAATATAACAATTTTTGCGTGCAAATAATGAGTTTCTTTTCAAACACATGAGATATTCTTCTTTACACAAAATGTATTTTATTTCCAGAATTTTCAGAATAATCCCTGTATATATGATAAAATTTACAAGTGCTTGGATTTGAAAAACTGAAAAGCAGTTTTATGCCTTTATAAATTGAAGCCTATCTATGAAGGCTTGTAATCGAAAAACATTTTTGAAATCATTTAATCAAATAAAGCTGTCCAATTCGAAATAAAATTTATTTTTTGTTTTCATTTTTTTTTATATAAGATTTCAAATTTCATATTTTATTCATCATAAATTTTATCTTGTTTATAAACACATATCCACATGTGTTTTCATTTTTAGCTTGGTCAATATTAAAGATTGTGTATGGTTTTTTGGTCCAAGTATAAATAGTTTCAATACCTAATACCAACTGTATTTTGATTGGTAAAAAAAAAAAATGACAGTGTAATTGTTATTTGAAGATTTAAAAAAAAAAACAATTAAAGGATATTGCTAAGATTTTAATTTTGTGTGGCCAAGTAGGCAAAATCAAGTAAAATATTTTTATATCCATTTGGTTTATGTTAGCTAAAGAAATATTTTTATAAAAAATGCTAAAATATTTTAAGCCTGCAATTTGATAATCAATGTTTTGTTTCTAAAAATATTTTGTTTATTACTTTTTTAGTTATGTGATCATTTTATAAATAAAGCTGTTAGTTATTTTTACTTATATTACAAGAACAACAACATAGAGTTTTGTTTTTAGACTAGACTATACAGGAATAGCTTGTATGATTATGGGTTCATTTGTGCCATGTATTTATTATGGATTCTACTGTAATCCCTATGAAAAAATTGCATACTTAGTCAGCATGATGGTTCTAGGAATATGCAGCATTATTGTCTCATTGTGGGATAAATTTGCAACACCAGCATTTAGACCTATAAGAGCAGGTAAAATATATTTGAAACACTAGCATTAGATCAAAACAACATTAATACTTTTAGAGCAGGTAAAAATTGTACTAGCATATAATTATATATTTTCAACACAAACATATTAATTAGTGTGTTTTTAGAAATTAATTGTTTATTAGAGAAATAAAAGTATATTTGCAAGACAAAAGTATATATCCAAGTTTTTAGGTTTACTGCCCTAGTCTAACACTTTTATTTGAGGGTTAAAAAGAACTGTGTGAAATGCATAAAATTTTTTATTATTATTGACATTTTTTCATTTGACAAAAAACAAGCATAAATTAGCATTAAATGTAAATAATAGAATACAGAGAGAATTAAATTATGACAAAAGAAAAACAAACTTAATATGAAAATAATTACTCATTTAATATTTATACAATCTTTAGGTGTCTTCCTTGCGCTGGGTTGTTCTGGTGTGATTCCAGTGGGTCATATGTTGGTTAAGTATGGTTCAAAACAGGCTTTAGAGCAAGCTGCCATTGGTTGGTTAAGCATAATGGGATTATGCTACATTGTTGGAGCTATTTTATATGCACTAAGAATTCCAGAAAGATTTTTTCCAGGAAAATGTAACTTGATTGTAAGTAATAAGTTTTTTGAATAAAAATTTTCATTTTATAATTTATTTCAAAACAAAATTCTAATATTCTTATATAACATTTTTGCTTCAACAAAGTTTTTTGCAACAACAATTGTGATTTTTACACAAAACGCATGGACATGGATGGATAATTATGTCTTTATACAGAATAGTTTTTTTTTTCCAAACATAATGAAAATTGCACAATGTGACAAATGTTTTAATTTTAATTTTTTGATCTTTCTCAAAGTCAATATCAACCTATTCTAATATTGTAAGGATAATTGCATAGCATATAGCACTTTTTTATATATTGAAAGGTATTTAGGAATGAGTTCTTGAACTTTTTAATGAGCTTTGCAACCAGTTGTCATTATTCTTTCGAATTTCTCTGACTTCAACTTCACTTTTGTTTGGAGTCCAATTAGTATACCCACCTTCGATCTTTGCCTTAGATTGCTTTAGAAACATGAGACAAATTACTTGTAAAGAAAACAAAACTTGTCAACAAAAAGTTTCTTTTTGTTGGCAGTAAAAGTTCTTTACTATAAATGGTTTTAAACTTACATTTGTAATGCAATTTCAAAATTTCGATTAACTTTCTGTTAAATTCGAAAGCTATTAACTTTTTTTCAATTTATAAAAAAGAATTATAAAATATTACATGTTTTATGTAAATCAACCTGTTCGGAGTTAAAGAGTTGAGAGAGGGTTGTAACCAATGTAAGAAGTAGCTTCCTCAACTAAAGTGTCCCACTCGGCTTTGGGAACATGAATTCAGTATTAAAAAAAAAAGCAAAAACATTTTAGAAATAAATTAGTCTTACAGAGTCAATATTCGAAACGTCTTTTTTAGGCAAGTTGATTCATCATTTAAATCTTATTCATCGCTTTCAAAAAATCCTAAAGATAAAAAACAGTTGAATATTTAACCTAATATCCTTAACAGTCTTTTTCCTTTATTAAGTTGACATTCGAAATTTTAAATAAACGTTGTTAATGTTTTTTTTTTTCATGTTCATTCAAAAACATTAAGAGTTGTAAAGATTCCATAATTTAAGTTATAAAAAAAATGTACCATCTAATGAAAAGCTATCAGGATATTTGAAAAGAAAAGCTATCAGGATATTCCAGGACCACCCTTGATCACCCTAATATGATCATTTGAGCGATCATGACCACTTCCAATGACCAAATATGCCTAGATTTGAATTCTCTGACCGCAATTACTTATACTTAGGCAACATATCCCATCTAATTTAAAAACCATTGAGACACCCTTGACCACCTTTAATAACCTCTAAAGTGACCATTTGTGTGGTCGTGACGACTCCAAACTTAAAATGGAGCATAAAAATGAAGTACTTGGCCCCAAAAATCCCTATATACATGTATCATATGTCCATATTTAACCCATAAGTAGTTTTACCATTTTTAGACAATTTTGCCCACTGTGCACTGTGAGCCGTAGCGCAGTGGTAAGAGCGCTTGCTTCAGAATCGAGAGTTCCGGTGTTCGATGCAATGGCCATCGAACTTCGTGACATTAGTAATGAAGGTGTGAATGTTAGTATAGTTAGAATACAATATATATAATATTATAATATTAAATAGTTAAATGCTCTTACGTTGTGGTCTGTGATAAAACCATAAGGACATATTAGAGCACCTTAATAACCACAAAAATATATATAAGTGCCTCCTTGTGATTTTTTTCTTTTATATACTAGGATACATGACATACCATTTATGTTGAAAGTATTTAAAATGTTAAAAAAATAAATTTTTATTTTAAAATCCTTTTTTTTCTAGTTCCAAAGTCATCAAATCTTCCACATTCTTGTTGTTATAGCTGCTTTTATACATCTACATGGCTGCTGTGAGATGGCACTTTATCGAATTAAAGTTGGACGAAATTGTTCTCTCTCGCTTGAGTTACCAATTTTTAATTCTACATCTCCTTTTGTCCAATAATTTTTTTTTTTTTTTTGTATAATGCACTTTACTTAAAATTTGTTTTAGATACAATACTGTCAATAAATTGCAATCCGTGCTATTTTAAAAAAACATTAAAACATAATTTGATTTTATTATTATAAGAGAATTTTTCAAAAATATTTTAACTCGAGTTTAAAAAATTCTTTCAAATAAATATCTATTTATTGCCCTAAGTTTTAAGTTCTTTACCAAAGTTATTTATTTTTTTAATATTTTATTTTGTATATTTTCTGTTATCTTTTTTTGTATTTCTATAACGTTATCATAGTTTGATTTTGATTATGTAACAATGTGATTTGATATAAAGCAATGTGTATTTTTTTAAAGATGTTAAAAAGAAATAAGTAAAAATTTATTTTATTTTCAGTTTCTTGATACTAAGTAAATTTAGCATTAGAATGGGATTATTCAAAAAAGTACGAATGCGTACAAAGGGGTTGGTGTAAAAACAAAGAAAACGTACGTTGTTTGTCTCTTTATCTCGGTTTTTTGTTTTATTTAACAAGAACATTGATTTTCATGAGTATAAAAAATTAATATTATGTTATGTAAAAAAAAATTTGACTAATTTTAGTTTTAAGTTATTTATTTTCAAGTTATTTTATTTTTTAATGTTTTAAAAAATTTGAGGTTGAGGAAGTTGAAATTGATTTTGCGGGATAAGTGTGTCCGTACAAATACATGTGCGTAAAAGATGGGAGGGGTTCCTAGATCGGTGGTTTGACTTCGTACATACGTACTGTGAGGATGCGCCTCAACTTGAACAAAAGTAATGCAGAACGGTATGACCCGTGAGTTTAAAAATTGTTTCAAACTTAGGCAGATTAATTCTAAATCAATTCTAGCTCTTAACTAAATATAAAATCATAAAGTCTCAGCAGACAATGTATGGTACAACATTTTATAGAGCAGCAGTGACATTTGCCTTTAGGCTGTTATGGCAAAAGCGTATCCGTGTAAAATATTTCTAGAAACATGACTTCAACACTTAAATTAAAATCTTGGGCAAACGATGTGTATAAAATTGCGTTAAAAATAAAAACTCCACAAATACGAATAGAATAAATTTTATGTTAAGTTTTAAAAAAAGTTCAACATAAATTAGGATTATTTACTACTTAATATTTTGTTCCTTTTTATATTCAAACATAGCTCAATTATATTGCTACTAAAATACGATTTTATAAAGTTATAACTTGATAAAACCGAGTTTAGTACCAATATAAATATGCTAATATATTAAGTATGCCATATTCTTGTTTATGTTGTTGCATAAAATAAATTTGATGATTATCAAAGCTAATTTTTACAACAACATAAACAATAATATGACAAAACCTACTTGCTTGTGTGTTATTGAAACCACAAAAACTATAACACTGGCATGAAGTCTAATTATTATTTATGAAAAACTAAATATGAAACCATTACATTTTACTTACAAACTTGAAAAAAAGACACGATTAAAGCATCTTTTAAGTTGAGTGAAAGTTTTAAGATGAAACGTAGTTTATCACGAGTTCAATATTTAGGGGAGACGGAGAAACTTCGGACATGGGGAGAGAATGGACGCTAAAAAATCTCATAAAAAGCAGTCCTTTGAGAATCATCATCAGATGAATCAATAAACCTACAAATATAAACAATGATACATATAACCTGAAAACATATAATCTTGGTAATGATGGATTTTACGATAATTTTAATGTGTCATGATGTGTCGTTTTAAGGACATGATATATTTTAAGTGCAATTCGGATGAATACCAATTGCAATAGTTTATAAATGAAAAATAAACTATCATTGTTTAAATTGCTTATCTATTTATTTGATATCCCTATACTCGTCCGAAATCACCCCGTATTCGGGGTGACTTCAGACACTTGACTAGCGTTTTTAAAATAGTTTTTTAATCATTGAAAAAAAAGAAAGCTAAAATCTTTAATATACCTTAATCATTATAGTTTGATTGAAAAATAAACTTTAAAAAAAAATTGTTATTAAATAAGCTCAATTAAAGTAAAAACTGTTCGAAGTCTCCCCGGTCTCCCCTATCAAACGACGATAAGCCAAATAAAAAGTTCAAGGAATATTATGAACCTGGTAATTTTCAAAAGTCATTTTTTTTATGATTAGCTAGCATAATATGATGGCTAATCATATAAAATATGACTTTTGCATTAGCATATTATGCTAATGCGAGCTAATTATAAAAAAAATTTTATGATCAGAAATGCATTTGAAATAATCGAATAAGAATAAATAATAGCAGTTATCGGAACCTGGAAAAAAATAAACTTGGGCCCCATAACTGCGAATATGAGTGCAATGAATTTTATAATATTGTTATACAATATACTTGTATTTATCTATAATTTTTATTTAATAGTATTGTTACACTATATCTATATATTACACATATAACTTGTATTCATCTATAGTTTTCAATATTCATTTAATAGTAACTTAGTGTTCAAAAAGTGTTTTACTAATTATAGTAAAACTTAAAATCCCTTATTTTAGGGGGTTTGTAAACTTTACATCTCAAACATCAAAAAAAGCTGCTGTTATATTGAACATAATTTATTTGAATTCAATAAAGATATTACTCAATAAAAGCATTTGAACTTTTGGTTCAAAATTTGCCGAGTCGGCGTGTGTTGTATACACACCCTGACTTGGCAGAGTTTTCTTTGTACCGACGTACTTCGGTGCAAAGAAAACTACGCACGCTTAACTTGAGTAGTAGACCTTGTTGAATCTAGTGTTTAGATTATTAACTACATGAAAATCTATAAACAACATAAAGTCTCTTTCAACAATTTTATGCAACGTATACTCCGCAGTATAACTTTGAAACTAGATTGGAAATATTTTGATGTTTGTGACACTCAACGACAAAATCAGGTTTTATTATGAACAGTGATGAAAAGCTCGTAGCATTTGAACTGTAGGTTCAAAATTTGCCAAGTCAGCGTGTGTTATAAACACACGCCGACTTGGCAGAGTTTTCTATGCACCGACGTACTTCGGTGCAAAAAAAACTTGCAAAGTTTCCTAGTCAAAATATATAAAACTAGTTGCAGAAAAAGATTCAGATGAAATAAAAATTAATATAACTTGGTATATAAAAAATAGTTAAATTCTGTAAAAAAATGCTTTTGAATATGGAAAGGTTAACTTATTTTTGTTCATACCCCCTCGCAGCCTCAAATGTGAGGCCAATAAGTTTCCCAGGTTTATATTATTAATTCCTTGACTAAATTTATATTCATCTAGAAACTTCAAATTTCATCTTAGTGTTCGAAAGTTATGACCATATAAAGTTTACAACAACTTACAAATTATTTTAGGGAGTTTGTTGTTCTCTAACCACTGCAATTTTCAGTATTCTTATTTATTAAACATAAACATACTTAAAATTAATTAGTTTGCTGCATATCTAAAAGTTCTCAAATATCAAAAAACCCTTTCAATTTTCGTAACATACCGAATTACAAAGGATATTTAACGCGAGGCCAGCGCAAAGGTGGTAAAGGTTAGGAAGTGTTACATTCTCTCTCCTCACTTTCTCAATGAATTTTAGATTATTCAGTCGTCAAATTTGATCTTAAAAGCAAATTACTAAAAAAAATTTGTTACATTGATTTAGAGAGGTAAAAGATTTTGAAGAGTTTTTTAAAAGATTTATACTTAAAATTAAACTTTAGTATTACTGAATGCAAGAAAAATTAAAATAATAAACTATATCTAATTTGATATTTTTGTGAATTCTTTGGTTATTTGTTTTCATTTTTAACAATGTTCCCGGTGGGAAATCGGCTAGCGAATAGTTAGCTATAATCGTTACGATAAAGACAGCAATTTGACCACGAGGATCGCTAGCTTTTGTAACTTAGCGAAAAGCAATCGATATTTGTAAAGATAAAGACAGCGATTCGGCTACGAGGACAGCTAGCTTAATAAGCTAAAGACTCAAAGGCTGTTGTAGCTACCGTCATATCGTAATAAAATCGCTATCAAAAAAATTTTGGTATCTAGCAATCAACCAGCTATAGATTTGTAGATATTTTGTAGCTAGCTACAAAACTACGATATGTAGCTAGCGACACATTGCTACAAAATCGCAATGTTTAAAGTTCAATTATTCTCATAATTATTATAGACTCAACACTAAAAATCGAATTGTTAAAGATGTTAGAGACATTAGTATAGAATAAAATAGGAAAAAAAATCGCTTGAAAATTGCTATAAAGCTAGCTAGTCGCTAGCTCATTTCCCACCGGGTTATTATTGTTTATTTATTGTAACCTTTTTGTAAAACAATAAGCCGTAGTCATCGAGTCGTAGAAGATACCACTCTGTTGCAAATAAATATTTTAGTAGATATTCCTATAATAAATTATATTGATCTGGATTCTATAGACTCAAAGAATAAAGCTTTTGTTTTGTTAATCTTTCATGTTGAGCAAAAGAATAAAAAGTTAATTTTGCATAAAAAGTTTAACACTGACAATAAGAGTATGTCATTATTAGATAATTGTAGTCGTTAAAATGAACCTAGACGTGCACAATCTCACATTAGGTATTTAGTATAGATTGTCAAATGAGGTATTCGCTTAACGCATTGATCTTGAAGAAGTTTGAACTTTTTAATTAATCTGTCTTTTGATTTCACGAACATATTTTCTCGTGCTTTTTCAGTGATTATTTTTACGGCTTCATAATCATTCCTTTCAAGCATTTTCGTGAGTTCTTATTGATATAAAGTCATTTTATAGATACGTAGACGACAGTCATGCTAGAGTTCCTAACAATGCCTAGGCTGATCAATTTAAGACAATACTTAATCAACAGCATCCAAAAATACAATATACCATCGAATTTAAAAATGACATATGCATAATAAATAACAAGTTTATAATAAATATTTATTATATATTTATTATAATAATTATACAATTTATTATAGCATATTTATTTTTCTAGACATATGCATAATAAATAACAAAAGAGGTAAATATGAATTTAAATATCACAGAAAAAATGCAATTGCTAACATTCATGTTAAGGCAACATCAAACCATTATCCACAAATTTTAAATGGAATATTTACCTTTATCATTACCTTGGGTACCAAAATTGTCTCCCAAATTGTGTAAAGTGTTTCGGAAGGCAGGATATAAAACGATCTTCAAATCAAACTTAAACCTAGAGGCAATATTAACATCAAAAAATAAATCCAAACTACAAACGAACAGTCAACAAGGAGTCTACCTTATTAAATGTCTTGTAACAAAAAGTAAATAGGTGAAACAAAAATGCAAATAAGAACACGCATGTAACAACACAAAAACAGTACAATAGGAAATAAAAAAGAACGATCTGCATTAGCCACACACATGAGACATTGTACACAACAAATTAACTGGGACAGTTGCAAAACTCTAAAAGTTGATGCCTAAAAGTTTGATAGAAAAGTTCGTGAGACACTTGAAATACAGTACCACCAATGTGCCCCTCAACAAAATGGTATCAATTTAGATGAGGGACAATATGTGTCAACAACATTTTGGACACCATTTTTAGCGCACTTACGTCAGAAAAAGGAGAAACCATTCCATTGTCATAAAATAGAACTGCCATTTATTAAAAAATAACATATAAACAAAAACAAACAAAAACCTTTAAGCTGAAGATGCTGCTCACAACAATCCAGCGAAAATTTCTTTTAAAAAAATAAATTTAGTATTGAGAGAAAATCGTATTTATTGATGTTTATAAAATAATAATAATAATAATAATATATATATACAGGGCCGGCGCGTATAGGTGTCACGTGGGGGGGGGGGTGCCATTAGATTTTGCCGACCTAAAAAAAAAAGAAAAAGGTCCTCGTTTTCCAAAATTTGCCGACTGCCATGATGACATTTGTCGATTGTCTAGGTTACCGACTAACCTATATCAAAAGGGTTGACATTTGCCGACTAACTAGCCAATTTGCCAACTAAAAATCATTGATGGGGGTGTCACACCCCCCCACACCCCCTATCGCGCCGGTCTTGTATATATATATACAAATATATATATATATATATATATATATATATATATATATATATATATATATATATATATATATATATATATATATATATATATATATATATATATATATATATATAAATATACAAATATATATATATATATATATATATATATATATATATATATATATATATATATAATATATATATATATATATATATATATATATATATATAAATATATATATATATATATATATATATATATATATATATATATATATAAATATATATATATATATATATATATATATATATATATATATATATATATATATATATATATATATATATATATATATATATATATATATATATATTCGGTGCACTAAGGCCAGTTTTTGCAACTGTTTCGCACTAATGACAGTTTGCAACAATTTGCAATTATGCCAATGCACAGTGGGCCAGAATCGTCTAAAAATAGAAAAATTGTTTATAGGTTAAATATAAACATTTGATACATGTTTATAGGGATTTTTGGGGCCAAGGAATTTATTTTCGGGCACCATTTTAAGTTTTGAGTGGTCATTACCCCACCGGTGGTTATTTTAGTTTTTAAGGGTGGTTATGGAATGTCTCAATGATTATTAAATTAAATAGGACATGATGCATGTCTAAATATAGATATTTGCAGTTAGAGAATTCAAATTTGTCATATTCGGTCTTTAGAAGTGATCATGACCGCTCAAGTGGTCATTTTAAGGGTGTTCAAGGGTGGTCCTGGAATATTCCGCTAGTTTTTAATTAGATAGGACATGTTGTATGTCCAAATATAAATAATTGAGATCGGGAAATTCAAATCTGGGCATGTTTGGTCTCTGGAAGCGATCATAACCGTAAGGTGTTCATTTTTAGGCTGGTCAAGGATGGTCCTGAGATGTTCCAATAGTTTTTCAATTAGATGGGGCAATGGGGTTTCTAAACATGGTATATGGTATTGTAAATATAAACATATTTTGTAGAATAAAAATGAGCTTTATTTACATTCTTTTTTTTATAAATAAGAATTTAGGTGATGACATACATCACATATAAGTACATAAAAAACTTCTTGGCTTCCTCAGGTTGATTGGAGCCTTTAACTTTTTCCTGGGTCTGAACACCTTATTATCGTAGTTGCAAAGCATTATCATTATAACATCATAGTTTGTCAGGGGCCTGAAGAATTTCATTGTGTAGTGGTCTCTGTTATTTTTGTGTAAAAAGTTAATATTAGGGTGTATAAAATAAATATTTTTTACAAATAGTATACCGTTTGGGGGTTATTTAAATGAAAAAAACATATTTGGCCACTTTAAAATACAATTTTTTAAGTGAAAATGGCTTTTTAGAAAAGTTATTTAGACAACATTAAAATTAAAAGTGCTAGATGAGTTACCTTGCTTTAAAACACAACAAGAAATTAAATATCCTTTTTTCTTTTAAACAAACTAATTTCTTTTTACTAAATTAAACTATTCTTTTTTACATATATAAAATTCTTTACATATATAAAAAAAGATAATAAATTTTCTCTTGCATAAATTATCTCTTTACACATGTTCACATAAATTTAACACAATAAAATAATCGAAAAAAATGTACATTACAAATTAAATGTACAATTGTACATTTGTACATAATTTGTACAAATGCTCATATACATTTAATACGATACAATAACCGACAAAAATATACATTAAATAACTGCTTAAATACAACAAAAATATTTACTAATAAACAAACTATTAAACGAAAACCACGTTTAGGCGTCATTTTCAGTTTTTTTTAACGCAAAATATATATCATGGATATAATTTACCAAAGGATATTATTTATAACAAAAAGCCTAGCACCTAATGCGCTAAGCTGAGCTCGGAAATTTTCTTTTTAAACTTTTATATATATGTGAGAGTGTATTTTAAAGTTGATCAATTTTAGAGCGCTGGGGGTCTCTAGATAACATTTGTAAAAATAAATTACTCCAATATAGAAGTTGGTTTCGAGGGATTTCGCTCACCTCTGGCCCACTGTGCAATGTTTAAAAAATCTTTCGGCGCATTACTGCCAGTTTATACTTATGCAAATTTTTGTGACTGTTTTGCATCTATGCTAATTCGCACCTCCAAAATTCGCAGTTATTCAGCCTCCCCACGCCTTTATTTTTTAGTCGGTAAATGTCGTTCGACAACTACTCGCGCCGGCCTTGATTTGGTGGTTTGCTCTATTTCAATATCCCTAATAATTCAACCTATATAATTTATGTACTTAAATATGAATATTTTAGGATGTATCACGAACAAAAATGTTGTTATGCATGCTTAAAGTTTCAATTTTTAAAATTAATAAAATTCCAACAAAGTATAAAACGGTTACAAAATTTTTTAAATATCATCATTCTTAACTAAGTAATCGGTGGTAACCATGGCTATTGGTAATTTTGCAAAGCAAATAACATATTTGCTTAAAGTTTCTTTTTTAACATTATATATTATAATATTAGGTGTTGAATATTTCGATTTTATATGTCCTAAATTTATTGTAAACTTTTTATTAAATTTAAAAATAAGTGAATATGTATTTGCTACTGCCGAATAAAATTCACCATTTTTTATCGGAGTGTCCGATAAAAAAAGAGAGCTAATTGCATATACTTTGAGAGTTAATTGTATATAATTATAATAATAATAATAATAATAATATATGAATATGTGTTTATGTGTGTATGCGTGTATATATATATATATATGTATATACACATTTATATGTGTATATATATATATATATATATATATATATATATATAAGTGTATAGTATATAGTATACATATAGTATATATATATATATATATATATATATATATATATATATATATATATATATATATATATATATATATATATATATATATATATATATATATATATTTATATACTATATATATATAATATATATATATACTATATATTTATTATATATATATATATATATATATATATATATATATATATATATATATATATATATATATATATATATATATATATATATATATACATATACATATATATATATGACAGATATTATATATATCTTTATGACAGATATTATATATATCTTTATGACATTTTATGTATGTATGTATGTATGTATGTATGTATGTATGTATGTATGTATGTATGTATGTATGTATGTATGTATGTATGTATGTATGTATGTATGTATGTATGTATCTATGTATCTATGTATGTATGTATGTATCTATGTATGTATGTATGTATCTATGTATGTATGTATGTATCTATGTATGTATGTATCAATGTATGTATGTATCTATGTATCTATGTATTTATGACTTTTAAAAACTTCAAGTAGGCTTTAAAAAGTATAGGAGATATTTCATACAAGACAAATTCGGAGATTTTAGTTTTTATTTTGATTTTATATTGTGATGTTAAATAACTGCAGTGGCTATTGGCAATTCTATTTAGTTTGATATGCTGTAAAATAAAGTATATATATATATATATATATATATATATATATATATATATATATATATATATATATATATATATATATATATATATACTACTGTATTATTGTGTATATCTTTTTAGAAGTTTAATTGTTTTATTGTAAAATTAAAAGAGTTTTATTTGCTTAATAATATAAGAGAGGGTAATCAGTTTTCTCCTAATTAACTATGTGACATCTAAAGAAATAAGAGCTATAAAGTCCTATAAATGAATCTAGTATTTACAGTAAAAGTTTCTCCATTTTTTTTTTTTTTACCTGGATTCTGTATTATACAATCAGAAGTCTTTGGTCATAATAATACATGCATACATTTGGAACCTGGGCTAAAAAAAGATTGGTTCTTAAAGTCTGGTAAATTATTTGCTATGGAGGTCATAAGTTCTATACTTTATTTTGAGGTACAAAGCTCCAGAGTCTAGGTAGATACAAAAAATACTTGACTTTAAACCCAAAGTCTTTTTTGAGACTTTTTAATAAATGAAGTAATGCATGCATTTTCAGATGATAGAAAACAAGGATTCAACAACTTGTTTTGCCTCCTAATTTAAACTTAATTTATTGAAAAGTCTCAATTTTGAGTAAGAATAGAAGGAACTTGTAAATATTGAAAAGAAAAATAATGATTTTTTTAAATGTTATAATAAATGACCTTAGATATCCATCTTCAGGAACATTTGTTTTTTATGTTTTCGTTGTTTAAATAGTTTTAAAATAATAGAAAAAATGAATAAAAAAGATAATAGCGATGTTTTTTCTTCAAAAGAAGATAATAAAAAAGAAGATGTGTTGAATGATCATTCAAGTCACTTGGTAATAATTTAATAGTTTATAAAATGGAATTTATGTGTATAAAATGTGAGATTGTTAATAGTTATAAGTTTTATATTGTTTTTGTATATTTTTTAAATATTAATGCTTTTTTTATATCTAGTATTATAAAAATAATTTTGGTGACTTAAGTTAGTTAGATATGCTGCAAATTAAAAATAAACAAAAAAATCTTAATAATGCCTGGTACCAATCTGGTTTTTAGACCAGAAATTATTTTATAAATTAGTCTAAAATAAGTCTTGCTTCTTTTTGATTTCTTCTGAAAATTTTAATTAAGTTATTTATATAATATTAAATCAATTATAAAAGTTTGATCAAATTTATACGGAAACTGCCTAAATTATTGAATACAAGGCCTTAGGATTCCAAAAATATATGAAAGATTCAAGAAACAATGAGCCTATATATATAATGTCAACTATCCTGGTATAATTATGCGGTAGTGGTGTAGTGGTAAAACACTCGCTTCATAAGCGAGAGGTTCCGAGTTCGATCCCCACCACATCCCTGGTAGTACCGCGCTCAACTTGTTTCTTCGCAGAGCGGCCTTGTTTGTCAAGGTTTGTGTTTCGGAGTTATAGAGTTAAGAGAGGGTTATAACAACTATTAAGTAGCCTCCTTGTCTGTACTGGTCTTCTCGGCCTTGAGGAGGTGAATAACAAAATATATATATATATATATATATATATATATATATATATATATATATATATATATATATATATATATAAATTATGGCTTTGTGTTGAATAAGAATTGCATTTAAAAAAGTATAAATATTATATCTTTATAAGGACACAGTTACATAAAAAAAAATTTTAAAAATAATATGTAAATAGTATTTGCAGGCAGTAGCATTATGACTTTCTGAAGTCTAGAATTTTCTTGAAATTTCTGGACTGTTCTGGATGTTTTTAGAAATCTCTTAAATTTTTTAGAGTTTTTTAGAGTCTTCAAGAAATTTGTGGAAATTAGCAAGATTTAAACTATATAAGCTGCCTGATTGAGCAACACTAATAAATATATGAATCTGTATTTGTCAGATGGCAGTATAATAAAACATTATTGTTGTCTTTTAGAATTATTTTTAAGTATTATTTTCAATCAAAATGTCCTATAAGAAAAATGCTTCCACTGCTGAAAGAAACAAGATGATCTGGATAAAGAATTTCATACGATTTTATTGAAGAACAACCAGTGGAAGATGACAGTAGGATACCATTCAAAATCCAAATTATTGGTTTCTATCTTTTCCTGGGAGAATTTATTAAAAGGAGATTAAGAAACATAAATCAAATTGAGAACAAAGTAACAAGTTTATGGCAAAAGAAATTAAATTTTCCACATTTATCAATTCTAGTTGTACAGACAAAACTGAATCTAAAGTGCTGAAGACATAATAAATGTGTAAAGCTCAGAAAAAGATGCAGTAAGAATAAAAAGTTTTATCCTTTTTAGATTAAAAGCAAAGAACAGGTCAGGTTTACAACTGGTTTAAGGCTGCTAGTTCAAAAACTATCCATCCATCAAAAAAAGAAAAATATCCTTCCGAGTCCTACCTAGTCCGAGTCCTATAAAGGAGAATATCAAGAATCTGAATAATCGGAAGAAGTCTAGTTGTATAATACAAAAAAAATTTCTGCCAGATGTTCCTATTCTTGATATTTTTATTTCGCAAAATTTACAAATTGCTTTGCTCATTTATTTTCATTTACATCAAAATAGTCTATAAAACATTTAGTTGGTTTGCTTATTGTTGATATTTTTTTATTTAATTTCATTTCTAAGTTTAATTCTTAGAATGTAGTTAGAATTTTTCAACTATGAGCAAACCAACTATGCATTAAACAATTTATAGCAAATAAGCAAACAATAAAATCTAATTAGTTAACACTAGTGGACTACTTATATGAACAGTCCATCACCAGCAAGAACTACAGCAAAACCAAAACTTCAATCAATTAGTAACATCTTCAAAGTTAACTAGCAAAGCAGCAACCATTAATCTCAACTTGGGATCAACATTCAAACTCCTTCACAGTCTGGTATATTCAGATTAACAATTAAAGGAGCTGTGAAACTTAAAAAAGAAATGAAGAAACACTACATTTAGCTTAGAAAGCTGGTCACTGCAATTTGATGGTAAACATATTAGTCACCAAGAATGACCAAATGTTAGTGTTGAAGAATTAGCAAAGAAAAGTTGCAAGCACTAAATCTACCAGACTGAAGGACAGATACTGTTGTTAAAGGTATAACAGCTTTTTTTGATAAATACAATTTATGGATGAGTATAAAAATTGTTGTAATGGACACTATGAATGTAAACACTGAAAGAAAGAATGGGATTCTCAGTCAGTTACATAGATGTTTTACTAAAAAGAAACTGAAAGAACCACAATTCATTGGTTGTCAACATCAAGTTCATTAACTTAGTGTAATAATGGATATAGAACTTGAAGAAAACAACATGTCGCCCAATGTTTATTATCTGTTTCACAGCAGGATGTGCTTGATGATATAAAATTTCTATTTTCATTCAATTTTGCTTTTTTTGAAGAATCTGGAATATTTCCTAAAGTAAAGTTTTAAAAAACGCCTAAAATAAATAATGCAAAATAATAATGCAAATAATGATAGAATTCTCGAGCAATACCAGCTCTTTTGGCATTTATTCTCTTATCAAAGAGAAGAGACTCATACTCAACATTTGTAAATTCATCTCTTACAAATGGGCGGACCATTGATTTACTGGCCAAATGCACAATTTAGACGATTGTTAAAAGCTATGTAGCAGCTTGCACACAAAAAAACCGTTAAACTTAATGAAAAAGTTTTGGAATCAGGAGCCATTGAGGCTGGAAATTCTTACAACAAATCAGTGTGTAATTAAGTGTCATCAAGATCTTTTTGACATCTGTAAAAAGAAAGAGAACCTCCAGTTTAGATTTATTTTGTCTAACAAAGCATAAGAACTTTATACTATGCTTTAATTAAAGCTGAATACTAAACAACATTTTTTCAATATATACAGTAGCTTTTCATATTTGTAGAATTGTTATTTAAGTTTATAATTTTATATTTATTTGCAATTTAAAGTGTTATGATGTAACAATAAACTGTTAAATGCTTATAAACTGCATGCTAACTCCTCAATTAAAATAATTAGAATTTAAAAATCACAATCATATAACAATTGTTTAAAATTTTTATCATAAATTCGAATTTTTGGTTTGTTAGTGACCTTTTTCAACAAGAAAATTGAATTAATGTTTTTTTTATTACTTTTGTATAAATATTCATCAATTTATGACCAAGGAACATGAGGTCACAAAAATGTTAAATCCAAAACATAACTGCTGACCTGAAAGTGTTTAAAAATAAGTGTAAGGTCTGACCATAAAACATAGAAACAAGGTCGGCAAAAATTTGCCGACCTTGTTTCTATGTTTTATGGTCAGACCTTTGTATCAAATAATTTTTGCCGACCTCAAAAAGACTGAGGTTGCCAAATTATTGCCGATCTCATTTTTTTTGAATTTCGAGGGTTGCATATATAAATATATAAATACACACACACACATATAATATATATTAAATAATATAAATTTAATATATATATATATATATATATATATATATATATATATATATATATATATATATATATATACATATATATATATATATATATATATATATATATATATATATATATATATATATATATATATATATATATATATATATATATATATATATATATATATATATCAGGCCTTGCGATGAATAAAAACTGCGCGACGCATAAGCACGACGTTATTTTTGACATCATTAAATTCTTTTTATTTGCTTTTCATATTTATCGACATTAACTGCACCAATTTACTTAATTACCGTAAAACTACTTTAAATCATTAATGTAGAAATGTTATTATTTAAAAATGTTTTGGAATGTTTCGTTTTTTAAAATGTAAAAACGTTTATGTTCTCGATGTTTGACACGTTTTGCCTATACTAAACGAATAAAAAACATTATAACTAAAACATTTAAAAAAGATTATAAGATATGCTAATATTTGATTTTTTTTTTCTCAAATATGTAATTTAAAGTTTTTCAAATATTTTATTTTTTCTTTTTTAAAAGTCAGTGAGTAATTAAGTGGAAATTTTAATTTTGTACGATTAAAAACTGTGCAATAGCTAATATTTTTACTAGTGATTTTATATAATATTTTTTTATTTTTTTACTTTTATTTTTATAAAGCGTTTGATAAGCACAATCACTCGTATTACTAAAAAACTTTAATGAACGTTTTGAATAGATATTCAATGTTTACGAGGAATCTTATTTTTGGTAAAATAAAATAAAATAAAATGTTAGAATAAAAATCTTATAGGTATAAAAGACATATTTCAGCGAAAAAATTATTCTTAAAAATTATTATTAAAAATTATTCGAAAAACTATTGACGTTCTATTTTTCTTGAGCACGCTTCGTTGAGTTTAGGTAACTTTTAACAAAAAAGCAATTGTTAATTTTTTTCGAGTTACTTTTTACAAAATTTTTAATAGCTGTACTTTTTTATTGAATCAAGTAGAATACGTTTTAATATTAATCCTTTTATTTAATTTAATAAATATTTTTAAATGTATGGAATAATATTAAAACCTAACAAACCCCCGTAAAATAATTATTTAAGTTAAAAATCTAAAACTAAAAGAAAGTATTTTTGTTCAATATATTAACAACTTTGCTATTGCTGAATAATTTTATTAAAATGTTAGCTTAAAAAGATTTAAACTTTTTTTTTAATCTGAATTTTTTCTACTTGTAAATAATGAGAATATTTAATTTTTTTGTAATTCAAACTTTTATGTCAACTGCGTGCGGTTTTTAAAATACTTTATTAAATGTTAAAATGATCGAAAATTACTTCATTAAAATTCTGCTCAAAAATATCTTTAAATATACTCAA